GTTACACACTGGACTTTTAAGAATAATGAATTGAACCCTACTTACGATAATGTTTCCTAGTCATTACTGTTAATGAAATTACTGCTTAATTACACTGAACATCATACAACAATCAACACAGTCAACTAAATTTTGTCATGAAATGAAAGCCAAATTTACTTTGAAGATTGTATATTTGAACATAAAATAATTTATGGCACAGCTGCCATTCAGACCACACACAATAATATAATAAACTCAAAGGTCCATTTACTAGGTTTTTCAGAGCTTTCAACTTCATCTCACGGTGACACATGGTCACAGTGATGTGTTGACCATGTTCATCACATTCAGCGATAGACATTTTTATATAGAGTAAAAATACAAAAAAGGTATTTTTTGAGATTTAGCACCATACTACTAAAGCTTTTTAGATGCAAGATGAATTTCACAAGTTTTACCTGATATCAGATTTGATGGCATGATGGTATCATACATGGGAACCTGCTTGTGGGAGCCTGTGTGGTTGGATTCAGAGATCTGGAACCAGGCTGAAAGTCTGCCATATAGCAGCCAAGAAATATTCGTGCAGTTGGTCTTGATCCCTGACCTAAAATGATATGTCTGTAAAAAACATATATATATACAACAGAATTCAAATATTCTAAAATCAACTACAAGAACATGTTCTGTAAAGTAATGTATTGTTTTGTTTTCATAGGCAATGGTTGGAGGAGGCCATGAAGGAAAATGAACCTGACTCCTGTTTCATCTTCTTGGTTGGTACAAAGAGTGACCTGCTGGTGAGTATGTTTTACATTATGTGTATAATTTGCAGATTTTCACATATGCAATCTTCTTCTAGTACCCAACTTTCATTTTCTCAAGCCCTCAGAGGAAAGACAGAGGACAGAAAAAGATGCCATTAGGATAGCAACAGACATGCATGCAGAGTTTTGGGCTGTTTCGTCTAAAACAGGTAAAGCCAAGAGCTCACACTTCAGTGCTGAATAGTACATTAAGGAAACATAAATACATTGATTCTAAGCAATGCAGAAAGTTACTGTAAGTTGTTTCTGTATTTTCAGGGGAGAATGTGCAGGGGTTTTTCTTCAGGGTGGCAACTTTGGCCTTTGAGAAGTGCATACTGAAGGACATGGAGAATGGGATCCCAGCTAGCATCGGATGTGGAGATATCAGTAAGTAATGACTCAGCGCCTAACAAGCAGAGATGTTGACTATAGAAGCCTTTAAGGAATACATATATAGAAAACTGTTTGTTCTTCACAGAGTCAGATCGTGCCAACCTGGAGGAGGCTGCACCGCAAGACATGAAGAGGAGCTGCTGCTGATGAAAAGAGGAACTGTTAATGAGAGAGGAACCAGACAGAGGCTCTTTTCTGAGCTTCAGCAGCAGAAATGAAAGTGGCTGACAATGCTCCACTAGACTGAAATGTGCCTTAGGACATGCTCCATTAGGTTCTTGAGTCATCAAAACTGCCATGTATTCTTCCCTTTGCAAAAGGTTCAACCAGTATGTGTTCCTTAAAGCCGACTGACCCTTCCTAAGCCCCGCCCCTTTTGCTTTGTTCTCCAATAACAGTTGAGCAAGCCTCGGTCAGAACCTCAGTTGACTTCCCTCTTTCCTGTACTTAGATATACTATTGGCTAGGCATGTCTATGTTAAAGACAACCACATTTTAAATACGGTTAAAAGATAAAAGCGACATACCATATATAGTCACATCTTAAAATAGCTAATATTAGCAAAAAGTTAAGCTAACTAGCTCACAAGAATTTATGTAACGTTAAATTGGCTAGATAGTAAGCTAGGGTTTTTCTAACACAGCTTTTCTAGCTTTTAAATGTAACTTACTAAATAATGGTTGTTGTAGATTAGCTAGCTTGTTGCTAACGTTTTGTTAACATTAGCTGTGACTATATATATTTAGCGTCTTCCAAATGTTGATTTCTCAACATAGATTAGCCTAGCACACACCACATATCTAAATATAGAAAAGGAGAAAGTTGGTGGAGGTTATAACGCATGCTTGCTCAACTCTTATTGGAGCACAGAGCAAAAACGGATGGGGTAGAAAGGATCAATTGTTATTGGGTGCTGATATGAAATCTAATGAATCTGACCATTTTTATGAGATAAAAGTTTAAAAAAAGTTGCAGTGTTTCATCCAGAATATGATTTTTTTCTCTCAGAACATTTAGACCATGGGGAATCCAAGATGAAGTACTATATGATGACAATAACAAATCTGATCATTGTGTCTAATTGCAATCAGTTGAGTTCACATCTTCTCATGTAGTATTAGTCAATAATATCTGTGAGATACAAACTCTACTATGACCATAATTTTCAGAGGTGGACAGGCAGACCAGACTAATCTGGGACAGGCCAATATTGCCCCTACGTACGGATACTTTTCTTTGCTCCTGTCATAGTGTTTGTTTTAATATACAGTATTGTTGTGGAATATGCCTTGCCCATTATTGTGGTTTGTATACAGACAAGAGTTTAATGAATGTTTATAGGCAAGGAAACCAAATGTTTATGTTAATAAGGGCCACAACATTATAATGTAATTTTTTAATAATATGTTTATTCAATTGAGCAATAGCAGGTGATAGCAGCTGTGCATTTATGACACTAGTATTGTTGTTAAAGCATATTCATATGTAATAAAGTGGTTTATCAGCTGTCTGAACTGTTCTGTCATGATAATATTAAAGATTACGAGGTGTGGCTATGGAAGACTCACAATCAAAATACAAAATGTATCCCTTATGAAAGTCTACAAAGGCTTGTCCAGATGTCTAAATAAAGATGAATTAAATTTATACATGTATATGTACTCTAAATAAATGTTCTAATATGTATGTAATTTGGGGTATTTTATAGGTGTATACTGGATTGTACAGAAAAAAATATATACGTTTGAATCGTCCAACGGAGCGAAGATGGAAGTTAGCGGGGTGAGCCCTCTTGCTTCGCCGAGATACTCTCTGAACGTCCGAACGAATCACATCACACGTTTCCATGTTTTGGAGGAAGACCGACCAGTGACTGTGAGCTAGTTAGCTAGCAAACTGCCTTCTATGTCCACCCTTACAACGGTGACTCTAACTTATATTGACTATATGGATATATTTACATTTCAAGTCGTTATTGTAACGTCGGGGCTAGTGTTTGTTAACTCAGTTCACTAGCTGAAGCGTTAAGTTGTCTGAAGTTAGCCATATGCTAGGCTAGCATATGTCAACATCCCAGGGCAGTCTGAGCTGTGGAGTAGTGACTACTCAGGTACCGCTACATTTATTATTCTGCGTGTGCTTGTTCTAACCGATCCACCATAATGCTTTATGTCTTAAACGTAAATCTTAAGTTATCATAATAAATATATAGGTTACGTCTTGAATTTAACTAGATCTGTGTGATAATCTATTAGCTATAGCAGGCAGCTCATCATAAGTAAACAGAAAACTTTAATATGTAGGTTTCAGTAACTTTATTTCAGTCAAAACGCTACTTTCGGATTAGTTTGCCTCAGCACTTTTGCATAGACTACTAACGTTAGTACACCACTGTGAAGAAGACTAGGCAATGTTTTAAAAATAATAATATCAAGTGAATCAATGCTATATTGCTAATTTATTTTTAAAAAAATGACAAGACCATTAAAGACAACCAATACGTACAAAGGGAGTCAAAGTAAAAACTGAGCTAATGCTTTTGTTCCCAGGCTGGTTCATCATGAAGACCAATAAGTCATATAAACTTGTGCTGCACAAGAAAGGTTTTGGTGGAAGTGGTAAGAAAGAACTTGCAATTCATGTGGCCTAAATGAATGTTTCTCCTTAGCAAGACTTTCTGTCAGATTGTTTTGCAAATGAACCTTTCCTTTGAGCAGATGATGAGTTGGTTGTCAACCCGAAGGTTTTCCCTCAAGTCAGCCTGAGGGATATAATCGAGATCGCACACCCCACTGATGAATACAGGTGAGTTTGCATGCAATGTGAAGATCACAGTGGTATTTTTTTATGCTGTTTCACTGATTTATCACTACCTAGTCTGTGTATAATCTGGCATTGTCTCTTTTGAAACTCCCAGTCCTCTTCTGCTGCAAGTCAAGAGCCTAAAAGAGGACCTTCAGAAAGGTAAATAAATAAGGATGTAACCCTGTGTCAATGATAACTGTAGAGTATGGAGCTAAAAGGGTTAATTCATCTGGGAGGGATCTTTTGATAAATAATTAAAGTCTTTCTTAAAGCAAAAATGCCAAACAGGACCTAGTTCTTGGTCTTAAATGTGACCATTTGCTGCCTTTCTTTAGCTTTTGTGATACTAAACGTAATATTTGGGGGTTGGGGGGAGTGTTGGTTAGAGAGAATAAGTAATCTGAAGACATCACCTTGAGCTTTAGGACACTGTGATGGGATTTTATTTCACTATTTTATATTATTTTATTGAATTGATGAAGACTACTCAGTAATGAAAATTATTGGTAGTTGCAACCCTAGAGAGCTCTCAAGTGGTGGACAGAATAACAGAAATACCTCACGATCTAATGTAATCCAACACAGCAGCCTGCAACACATCCTTCCTTTGTGATTCTTATAATGTTCAGCGTTTCTGTAATTTAGTCCAACTCCAATAATATACAGCATAAATTGACAACATACATTGATTGTAAATGCTTTGCCTGCACACTGCTCATGATGGATATCTTGTTCTTGTCTAGAAACCATCAGTGTGGACCAGACTGTAGCACAAGCCTTCAAACTCCGTGCTTACCAGGATGTCATTGTTAACATTGTCGACCCAAAAGTATGTTCACTGTGACCCCTCTGCGGCTCCGCCTTTTGTCAGTCGAATAGCTCTCATAGTTTTTTTTTTTCTTTTGCAGGATGTAACCCTGGACCTAGTGGAGCTGACGTTCAAGGACCAGTACATCGGCAGAGGAGACATGTGGAGACTAAAGAAGAGTCTGGTGGGGCATATGAACGTTTATGTGTCTGGCTATATTAATGTGTAATAGAACATTTACGTGAGGATTGAACTGTTCCTATCTTTATTCCAGGTGAGCACGTGTGCTTATGTGACGCAGAAAGTGGAGTTTGCAGGAATCAGGTACTAAGCATTTAGAGTGACTTGAATGTAGAATAAATGAATATGTAAGTACACTTTTCTATGATTGAGCAGCACCAAAAGCAGCCAGCATACAGTATGTGTAAATGTTAAGATTTTAAATCATAGCTGCCTGTTGCCTTATTGTTTTTGTACAGTTATGATGATGACTCAAATGTAGGCCATGAGCCCAGTTCAGAGCAAAGATTCACGACGAGACAAGTTGAAACAAACTTGCTACCACTTGTGATGCGTAGATGTGTGCTTGCAATTGAAACTGTAAAAAATGTGTTTAGCAGGTCCCCAAGTTTCTCTGTGATGATTTTCGTGTTTGACTGCATATTTTTTTTTAAATTGCATGCTAAACGCATGCCCAATACACATATATCGCTGTACATTATATGCATATGCATAATTTCAAAATTCAATAATAATTCAAATCAAATAGTTTTCAGCAAATTCTACCAGATTCTTGTTCAACATCTCCCCAGGTACTACTAAGCAAAGCAGTGGCCAGTGTGTGGCACCTGTCCAGTTATTCATAAAGATCCTGATCCTAAGGAATTTCCACATTAAAAAAATAAAATAATGCACCCTAACACATCCCACAGAGCTGATTATGGAAGTAGCTAATGAGTGAGCCATCTCATCGCTCTTTAGAGTCGCACATGCACTTTCCGACGTACAGCCAATCATAATGTGTTAATGTGTTACGGCATCTGTAAACACAGGACCCTGAGCCAATCTGGCAGGCCGAGCACATCTGGTATCTACACCTCCCAGTTTACACCAATGCAACCAGACAAGCTGATGTATCGTCTCCATAGCAACGACTCAGTGTACTTCTGTTCTAACTGCCACCTTTATGACCTACGCCATCAGCTGGCTTAGGGTTAGCTGAGACAGGACTGTTCACACTGCTGCAACCTTCTAAAACACTTTGCTCTCATCTGCTTTAGTTTCTGTCACTGCATGCATGCTTATGGTGTTTTTCATTCTCCAGAGCACAGGCCAGTGAACTCTGGGTGAAGGGAGAGAAAGTGACCTGTGGGTACATCAGTGAAGACACCAGGGTAAGAGCAGCTTTGAAAGCAGATGCTGATTTGCACTGACAACACGGATACACAGACGCTAGCATTTATTTATGTCAGAGTTACTCATTTCTCTCAAATCTCTTATGACACAGGTGGTGTTCAGATCCACATCTGCAATGGTGTACATCTTCATCCAGATGAGTTGTGAGATGTGGGACTTTGACATTTATGGTTAGTGGACCTCTGATTGTCTCATTGTCTCACGCTTTATAAGCCGGTTTTGTTTGTTGATCTTTGTTTTTTGATGATATATAATTGAATGTTTTGTCCACAGGTGATCTCTACTTCGAGAAGGCTGTGAATGGTTTTCTTTCTGACCTTTTCGCCAAGTGGAAGGTTTGTGATTTATTTTTGTCTGCCTCTGTCATAACTGTAACTGTTGTAAACAAAAAACATTGTTTTAATGTTTATTGTTAAAACAGGAGAAGAACTGCAGTCATGAGGTGACAGTTGTACTTTTCTCACGTACATTCTACAATGCCAAAACTATTGGTGAGTCTTTCTCCTTCATTATCACAGTCACTTATGATGCATATGTATACATGTATCTTTAATACAGTTATTATTGTCCTCAGATGAATTTCCTGAGATCCTGAGAGGGTCCATCAGACAGGATCATGAGGGACGTTTCTATGAAGACTTTTACAGGTAACTGTAGTTATAGCTTTTGTTATCTACCTTACTTCAAGCTCATTTGAGTTACAGACTGGACGTTAGAGGCTTTTGACAACTCTTAACTGCTTTGTGATCAGGGTGGTGGCTCAGAATGAGAGACGGGACGAGTGGACGTCATTACTGATCACTATCAAGAAGCTCTTCATTCAGTATCCTGTCCTGGTGCGGCTGAAAGAAGCAGGTAGTTAACAAGTCGAGTATTGGGCTGACTAATGGATCTTAGAATCAGGTGCTTTTTGTAACCAAAATGTTGTTTTTATTTACTTTCATGCCAGATGGTTTTCCTGTTGGTTATAATTCAACTGCTGCTCAAGGAAACTACTTGGAGGCCATTAACCTTTCCTTCAATGGTAAGTAGTCTATGACAATAGATGTATTCAGGTATCTGGTTATGTAAATACTTGTCAACATCATAGTTGGAGTCACCTGTAGGATTTGCTGTATGCATTGTGCAAGTATACTGATTTATACAGTAGAATTTTTTTTAGAAATGCAGTATAAAATGGCTTGGTAGCCGTGTAGTTGATCATTAGCGTGGAGTACTACTAAAAGTAGCTAGTAGGGATGCCACAATGCCAGAAATTTAGTAGTTGATACCAGTACCAGTGAAATTCCACGATTCTTGGTAAAAGTGTCCCTATCTACCAATAACGAGTCCTGATCCAAGACTTGTATTTTCCTTAATAATACAGCTCTGCATAACATTAAGAAATAATATGCCTGTATCCAAGTTGTTACTTAATGTTTTATTATACTTTACTAAACATCAAAGCAGGCTATAAAAT